GACTCTTTTTATTTCCATGTCTATCCATTGCATTGTGCCCAAGTGGGCATGTAATACCACAACCTCCATGATTGATGCTTTAAAAAAGCCCATCACTTTAGGTACCTCAAGACCTCCGTCTTTAGTACGCAATTGTAACAAAGATGCCGCTAATCGAGATCTCTTTTTGTTCCATATAAATGATCTTAAGAGAGATTGCAGTTGTTTGCATAGAGATGTAGATAAAGGTAGCGGAAGCATTCTAAAAATGTACAGTATCTTTGGGATAATGATCATCTTTACCTTTTCTGCCCAGCCAAATGAGTTTTACGTTTTTCCATGTTAAGAGATTTTTGTAGAGCATTTGTGGTTCAATTGAGTTATATTGTGATTTGTGTTGGCTAGTTTAACTCCCAAATATGTGATGTGAGTGTGACTCCAATTGAAACTGTGTATACTTATTACTTCTGAAGAAGCCCCAGACCGGGCAAAACGCGACTTATTACTTCTGAAGAAGCCCCAGACCGGGCGAAACGCGTTAAGTAAGAGATCTGATACTTCTTTTATTATATATTTTTTATTTTGTAACAATAAAGTTATAGTTTTTACTACTTTATTTGTTGTTCCTGATACATCTTGAATCCTGACCACATGCTGTTTATACCAGAGCAAGATATTTGCTCTGAAATTTGTAAGTAGGATACTTTTCCTTTATTTGCACACTTTTTAATAGATATACTACACTATGGGATTTTATTTCTATTTTTATTTTTCCATATACCACTGTGGAGGATTGGATACCGCATTATACCATCACTTGATATCCTGAGACGGGGATTATACCGTCTAGGCGCTATACGGCAGAGCTCTGAGTAGCTATGCAAAGTGTGAGTGAGTCTTTTATAAACTTTTATATACTCTTATTTCACTTGACATATTGCACTATTATTGTTCTGTACTTTTTTGACTTGAAGGTTTCATACATTCCTAATTAGAGGATTCTCTGTATGTATATATTTTAATTATTATTTGCACTGTTTGGGCGCGGTTTACTACTTTTGTCTCTTTTGTATATGTTTTAGGTTGGTCACGTCTGCTTTAGACATGCGAAGTGGGAAAGCCTGCATTTTTGTTAGGTTAAGTTTACAATAGGATATCTTGCTGTATTCGTTTAGTACTTTTAGTGTGTTTGGGAGGGAAGTGGTGGGGCTGCTCAGTGAAAGGAGAATGTCGTCAGCAAACATAGAAAGACGGCAGTCTCTGTCCTGTGTTTTTATACCTGTAATAGCTGGGTGTGATCTGATCTTTTTAGCTAAAGGTTCAAGTGTCAGAATAAAAAGCAAAGGGGAAAGTGGGCATCCCTGGCGGATGACATTTGTTATATTAAAGGGAGAGGAGAGGAAACCTCCATTCGCCACTCTGGCTGTTGGGTTCCGATACAGGGCCATCACCCCTGCGAGAAAGTCAGACGGGAATCCAAATTTGAGGAGTACTAGCTCAATGCTTAACTGTTACACTGGGAGATAAGACAATAGAGCGTTTAAGCATGGGGTGTCTCCTTTGGGGGGGCATGCCCCAAAATCAACAGCTCTCTAGTAGAGCTCAATGCAAGGCATCGGAAGGCCATGTAAAAGAGTTTAAAAGCAAAATAAAGTATAAATTCTCACGTGCCGGTATTAGTTGGCTGGTGTTGGGTGATTGTAATAGTTCAACCTTGTTTTGCGCTATTGTCCATCTATTCGTAATCCTCTTTGGCGAGTTCTGGTCTTGTCTGGAAGGTGCGAACTTGTCAGGTAATATAACAGGCAACTTCCATTCCCGCAGTAGTTTTACGCCTTCTTCCAGGGGACTGGCTTGCCTCTCTGTGCTATGATAAGGCGTGTAGGATAGCCCCATTTGTAGAGCACTCCAGCTTCCCGTAGCACCCTGGTAACCGATGTGAATTCTTTACCTTTCAGCAGGGTGGCTGAGGATAAGTCCACAAACTTTATTCCTGCAGATTGTGGCGGAAGCATTTCAGTATTGCGTGCAACCTGCATAACTCTTTCTTTTGTTGTTTAGTAATGTACTCTCGTTATAACATTCCTGGGTAGGGTGGCTGAGAGGAATTTAGGCCTTGGTGGGTGGTGTATACGGTCTTGGTCTAGGTGTACCTAATTTTCAGATACACCCGGTACTAAGGCTGTGAAGAGGGCCATTGCGTATTCTTGTAGCTCTGCGGGTTTTATCCTTTCTAGTAGCCGGATATTACTTCGGCGGTCACGGTCCTCATGGTTGGCTACGTTGGTGGTGAGGAGCTTTCAGCTTTGCTACAATGTGCTCATGATTTCCTCAGTTTTGTCTTCCAGCTGTGCAATACGTTCACCAATCGCCTGTATATCAGCTCTGACATCTTTGGCTAATTTAGCAAATTCTGCTTGCATATTTGTTTGCAGCTCATAAAGCATTCTCTGAATCGAGGATTCTAATGCTGGAGCTGGGTGCACTGCAGAAATAGAAGTCTGGTCGCTCTTGTCTGAGCAGGATGCAGGGGAGTGTTGATCACCATGCAATCTTGGATCCGACACATCGGCGTGGTCAGTGCCAATATTTGTAGATTAGCCTATTTTCATTTAGTTTTCTTGTTTGATTTTTGTGCCATGGTGGTCAGTGTCAGCAAGAGTGCTGTTTGCATCGTTTGTGGCAATGTAATTGTTGTCAGATCGCTGTAAATAGAGAATCCCTTCAGGGAGATAATGGCTCACACATCCATGCAAGTGAGCTGCCAGGAAAATTACATATTTTTTATTGTAATATTTGAATTTTTTTAATATTCTTTATTTTTGTTGTGCGTAAGTTTGACAGATAAGCGTACACATAACAGAACTGCACGTTTTTAAGTTATAAAACAGGCTGAAACAAGTGTTATCGAGGCATACTGGGTAGGCAGACATTAACATTGTCAAAAAAAATAAGATAAAATAGTGTAACACATTAAACTTAAATAAATTCTGTAGCTTAGTATCCACTGTGTACTATTCCTAGGGTTAGAGCATGTTTAAAAAATATATTTAAAGATATTGGTTGAAATAGCATGCCCACCCCGAGCTAAGATTTATCCACAGCTGTGGGAGGGGAATCGTTAGTTAGGCCAGTGTATTCTGGGATATGTGTCTCCTAGGGAAGTATCCTACATCGGCCAATCTGTACACGTTAAGTACACGTTAAGCTCTTGTCGTGGTATGAAAATATGAACATTGCATTTCAACGATGGAGCACAGTTTTATAATTCAGTGCAATAAGCATGTTTAGGCTATCATATCATGTTAACTGAGACCGGAAGAACAGTCTCACACAGGTAATGTATTAGACTTGCCATTAGATGGTTATGTGCAGTAAATAGCTTTTATATTAACTTAACTAGTATACAAACATAAGAAATAGTAAATAAAAATTCCCACTGCAACTAGAACCGTGTTGCACTGCTGCACTGTTTTATCAAGACTTTGAAAAGGTGTAAATCAAAATGATCCTAAGCTAGCCACAGAGTATGTGTAGCTGGTAGGGGATAAGATGAAAATAAAATAAAATGATCTCTGGGCTGTGCCTCCAAATGAGGACACACAGAGGGAGATTAAGAATGTTCCAGGGGAGTTGTTGCCTGTCACAGAGCCTTAAATCAAACCCATTAAGCACTGAAAGCAAGCTGTACATTAAGGGATCTGTGGCCTTCTTATGGGGCTGCTCATCCGATGCCCATTGATGGCAGGTTGCTAAGACTGGAACACACAAATCCACATTTCTGTATGGAAGGGAGCCACGAGCCCCAAATGCCTGTGCACTCCCACCTTGCTCCGGTTGCAAAGCAACACCATCCAGTTACCGGACCAGGGCCTCTGGGTCTTCTCAGTGCCCATGATCTGTGTTGCCAGGTGTGAATCACCCGACGGTTCAGCTTAGTAGCATATTTTCGTCTCTCCCCCACGGTAAGGCAGATTTACAGTGGTGTTGTGCTGCAATCAGCTCTGGCGCCCAGAGAGTCCTCTGGTAGGTCTGTCGGCAAGGCGGATGTGCCCCGGCAATGAATCGGTGACCAGCTGCAATATTCTGTGTAGCATGTAAGTCCTGGAGGGCTGGTCTGTGTTCCAAATGCATCCAGAAGTCTTGACAGACTTAGTCGAACCGAGCCTCAATGCTCTCTTTCCAAGCCTGGATCTCTGAACCCTCTCGAGACTGCTCAGGTTGTGGCTCGGCAGCCATCTTGGGCTTGGCCTACAGTCTTCGCTCCGCCAGAGGATCTACATGCTGTAGATATGGAAATACCCCCACCGGTCCATAGGCGGGGGGGGATGCGGGGTATCAGTAGAGCTGCTGCTCAAAGCGGCCCCCATGTCGGGAGATTGGCCGTCTCTCCATGCCATGAGACCACCTTCCGTGCTAGGCCATACATGAGGAGTGTGGTATATCTCGTCAGAAGTACTCAGTGCTTGTATCCACGAGCTCCCACTCGTTTCAGTAATGAGCAGTCATGTCATAGTGCAAGACTGTATAAATCATGATTTTGACCTGTAATAGCCAAGATTAAGCTTAGCTTTGTCAGAGCTCTTTGCAAACACGTCTGGCTAGCTTGGCTGTTAGGCCCCGCCACCTATTTAAATTTTTTTTATATATTGTTTATATGTATTTTATTATTTTAAGAATTTTAAAAATATATATATTTTTAAAGCTAACCCAAAAATATTAAGCCATTTGGAAAGCTTATCCCAAAATATTTTTAATCAGTCCTATATTACATCTCCAACAGGCTTGATTCTGATCTTTATAAATTTTTGCCAATTTTTCTGGAACCAAATACCACCTATTAATGAGTTTATAAAAATTCTCTACTATATTCAAACAATGTACCGATTTATTTACATTAACTAACGCAGTTATCATGTCAGTAATTTTAATATGTAGGTCTTTTTCCCACTTATTCTTAGATTTCCAGACATAAGGTTTCTTAGAATCCTTTAAAAACTCATAGCATCTTGTAATATGGCCTTTATTTCCCTGATTTTCCAGAATCTTTTTAAGATTACTTGAGATTTTATTAAGCTGGAAATCCAAGAATTTCGCAAAAAAATAAATAAAAATTCTTAGATATGTGAAGATCTCGTTGTTATCAATCCCAAACTCTGATTGTAGCTGATTGAATGTCTTAATTTCCTTTCTCTCAATAATTCCCTTCTGTGACCATCCGCTAATATTCAGATCTTCAATATTCCCCTTAATCACCTCTATGGGTAAAAATGGAAACAATCTATATTCTATTTTACAGTCTTTCTTGATTTTATTCCAGTATCCCAAAATATTAGAAATAATAATCGAGTTTCCTGAGCATACTGGTTTACTCCTATTTTTCTCCTTTCTTACTGCCCAAAACAGAACATTCAGATTTTCAGTCTCTACTAATGATTGTTCTATTTGATACCAAGCTTGATCTTTCTAATCTTTACTTATAGTATTAAAAACATGAGCCAGCATACAGGCATTATGATATTCTATTATATTTGGGGCAGCAAGACCTCCATCTTTTTTTTTCTTAGATAGCTGATGTAAACTTATTCTGGGTTTTTTCCTCTTCCAAATAAATTTAGAGAAAGCTGACTGTATCATTTTTAACCAAGGAGTTGGAACTTGTATTGGTAGCATTCTAAAAAGATAATTCCATTTGGGCAAAATATAGGAGCAAAATATATACGCCCTATCCATGAAATCTCCCTACTAGCCCATTCTTTTAGAATCTTAGTTGTATATTTTATGAGGGGGAGAAAATTAACCTCCATAACCTTTTTTATGTTTCTTGGAATTTTACTACCAAGGAACATTGTATTATCCTTTACCCAGACAAAACAATAAGATATTTTAATAGAAAGCTTTTCTTCTCTAGATATATTAGTTGTCATTATTGTAGTTTTATTAATGTTTAATTTATAATTTGAGTATTCACTGTATTGGCCCAATATCTTTATCAATTCCGGTAACGAGGATCTAGGATTCTGCAGCATAAACATGACGTCATCAGCGTATAGATTGATCTTATGTTCTATTTTATTTAGCCTAAGTCTTCCCATTTTGCCTTATATCATCCACCAAGGGTTCGATGGTTAAAACATAGAGCAACGGGGACAGGGGGCAGCCCTGTCTAGTACCATTCTTGATATTAAACCAGTCTGCATCTATTCCTGGGCCTACCGTCCTTGCTGAAGGCACAGTATACAGTGCCATGATGGCATCATAGGCTGCACCCACTATACCATATGCCTTCAATGTATTTGCCAGAAAGTCCCATCTGACCCTATCAAAAGCTTTCTCAGCATCCAGTGACAGGGTCAGAAGGGAAACATTCTTCCTTGATGCAGCATCATGAACATCCAATATCCTTCTAAGGCCACCTGAAGCTGCTCTGCCAGGAATAAATCCAGCCTGGTCTTGATGTATCAAGGCAGGAATACAAATTTTTAAACGGTCAGCTATAATCGAGGCATAAATCTTTACGTCTCCGTTAAGGCTTCAGGATTGGAACAATATTTGCTTGAAGCATCTCTTTAGGAAATGTACGGTTTGCCACTATCTCATTAAATATCCTAACAAGATACACTGAAAAGGTATCTCTAAATATTTTATACAAATTATTAGAGTAACCATCCGGACCCGGGGCTTTGTTAATCTGTAGTTTATTTATTGCTACTTTAATATCGTCAGCAGTTATTGGTTTATTTATTTCCATAAGTTGTTCTCTTGTTATTTTGGGCGTTTTTTTATTTTTAAAGTATTCTGCTTAGGGAAGTTGTTGACCTACCGGTTCTAAATTATATAATTGACTATAATAGTCATTTAAAGCTGCGCCAATTTTCTTTGGGCAAAAAAGCATCCCCTTTTCGGTCTCTATTTTATGTATTCTCCCCAGTTGTTTTTTTTTTTTTTTTCAATTTATTTGTGAGCAACTTATCTGCCCTATTACTCGTATAATACCAATTTATCTTTAAGGATTGTAGAGTTCTATTTTTCTCCTCAAATAATAAGTACAAAAATGCTATTAACGCAAAACAATATAAATGAATTATCTCCTGGGTTGGTGCAGCTTTGTTTTGATTAGATAATTTATAATAGTCAACATAGAAATCCTTCAGAGATTTCCCCTTCTTTTTTGTATCAATTGTACCCAGTTTAATTAGATAGCCTCTTGTAACACATTTATATGCATTCCATACTACTGGTAATGAAACTTCTCCTCCCGCATTTTCCTGAAAAAACCTTTCTGCCATCTCCTTAATGTATTCTCTATTTTCTTTTTTAGATAAAATGTTATCATTTAATCTCCAATTCGATCTTCTAGCCCCCTTATTCTCTATGTCCAACTCCAAAATTATAGCATTATGGTCTGACCATGAAACTTTGTCTATAAGAACTTTTTAAGTACGGTTGACCAAACCATAATTCCCCAAAAATAAATCAATTCTTGAATATGAGAAATAGGATCTGGAAAAACATGTAAAATCCCTTTCAGTTGGATGAAACGCTCGCCAGATATCCATTAATCCATAGTTCCTGAGTATCTTTCGAAATTGCCTGCGAAATTGCAGATTTATTTGGCCCTGCATTATTTAATGTTTTTTTTTATCTAAACTAGCATCCAAAATCCAGTTGAAATCCCCCGTTACGTGTAACTTACCCTGTTTTATTTTTTCAACTTTATTTAAGAGATCACAGAAATACTTATTAGAAGGATTATTGGGTGCGTAGAGATTTACTAAAGTATAAATTTCTGTTTGAATTTTGATTATCAGTATTATAACTCTGGCATCCTCATCTATTTCTTGATAGATTAATTTAGCATATCGTCACTTATCAGAATGGTCACCCCTCTCTTTCTCTGCCTCTCTAATGAGGCGGATACTGCTATTGAAAACCTTTGTGGGATAAATCTTAGACTGTCCTCTCTTCTCCAATGCATCTCTTGTAAAAAGATAATTTGGGCTTTTTCTCTCTTAATATAGTCAAACAAAATCGCTCTCTTATAAGGAGAATTTAAGCCCTGAGAGTTTAACGATAAAATTTTAACCATTACAGGTTTCCATCCTCATATCAATCATTTAAAGAATTTTCCAAATTCATAATCCCTTTTGCATAATCTTAGTGGACTTGTTTTGTAAATTTCTTCTTGGTCTGAGTTTAAGCCCTCGCACCAAACACACAAAACCACAACATTCATACACCATCCCCTCATCTGTGAGGGGCATTCATGCCAGCAACCCCGAGTCCTAAACTCGGGGTATTGATCCCGGAGGGGAAAAACCCCTACTTGGGATCTTGTCCTTATCAGGATAGCCCCTAGATAAGGAAAGAAAAAGAGCTGAGCTGTACTGTAATTGAGCTGTAATTTTATTAAATTATTCCTTCACCTGCTAAATTGCCACAGCAATAACCATAAGCCTCCCCACTACCAGCAAAATGATCAAGACCCTTTTACCCTTCGATTTTAAAATCCCTAACAATAAATCAATCCTATAGAACCCAATGTCAATTTCCCTAGAATTTCTTTTCTCTTTTTTGTCTTCCCCTTGTCTTCTTCCTTCCTTCCCCTTCCCTTTTCTTTTTCTTAAGTGCAACACACCTTTCTTTTTCCTTCCCTCTCCATCTACCTTCTCCTCCCCTCTCTCTCTCTCTTTCCCTGCCTTTTCTTTCCTTTTTTCTCCTCCTTTTCTTTTTAATCAATAGCGAGTGCACTTCCTTAATTTATTTACAATTTACCAACTGTTAATCACTTTCCTTATATTCCTCTTAGTGCTTTACTTAACAACAAAAATTTGTCACAACAATCCAACTTGTTACTATATAACATAATTCCCTCAGGTTTTATGTTACCGTGATATATACTACATTTTATCCTTATCTTCATCCTGTGAATACCCTTACTGCTTTGCTCCAAAATCCATCTCTATATTCACACAAGTTACATTTTGTACCTTTCGAAAGAAACACACCCTTTTTACTAACTATATAACATAAACCATTAAAACTAAACTCTTAATTTCCTTCTCTTCATAATTTGAATTTATAAACAAAAGCTATCGTTTAACTCCTCCACCTATTTATATAAGTGGGTGAATCCCCACATGTTCCAGAAGAGTCTCATTAGAGAGCAAAAAAACGTGCTAAACTAAACCTTATTATCCAGCCCCTTTATATTCTTCTTAAGTGAAACAATATATATGTAAACCATCTCTCATTAATATTTCATATTTTACCCTTAAATAAGGAATTGCTAAGATCACAGAATTATTTCAACCACGCCTTATTTTGCACGATAGAGAGAGGAGAAAAAAAAAAAGGAAGAGGATTTTTTCCTTACTTATTCCAATTCTATACATTATTAAACCAAATTGTTCAGCCAATTTGCAACCTTCTCAGGTGAGTCAAAATTATGCGTATTCCCATCTTTAGTAACTATAAGTTTGGTTGGGAAGCCCCACCTATATTTTAGATTATTTTCCCTTAAACACAAAGTAGCTGGGAGGAATTGTCTCCTCGCTTTTCTTGTCTGGAAAGACAAATCTGGGAAGACCTTTATATCGTTAAATTTGCCTTGAGCTCTTTCCATTAATTTTGCCGCTTTTAAAATCTTTCCTCTAAAAGAGTAGGAGTGACAAGCGATGATTATATCTCTTGGAAGTTCAGCTGGAAGTGTTCTTGGTTTGTACAGTTGGTGCATTCTTTCAAGAAAGTCCACTTTATCCTCAATATTTATTTTAAGAACTTTAAAAAACTCAGAGAGGTAAGTTGCCAGATTATCTTGTGAGATGGATTCAGGGATGTTTCTTATTCTCAAATTATTTCTTCTAGCTCTATCTTCTATATTTATAGTTCTTCCTTCAAGATCATTTATCTTCGTTTGTTGTTTTTCAATAATCTCATTTTGCTTCTGTAGAAGAAATTCTAGATTTTCTATTTTTTGTTCGTTGACTTTAATTTTTGGACCAATCTCCAATATTTCTTTCTTCAAAGTTGCAAAACTCGCCTGCATTTCTATTTTTATTTGTTCCAGCTGTAGGTCTAAACATTCTTTTAAGTACCCTGGGGTGACCGTTTGTCGTTCATCTGAGGGTTCTTTTGCCTCAGTGACACTGAGGTCTGCAATTTCTTTACTTAAGACAGCTTTGTATGGTGTTTGTGTCTGAGAATTTTCTAAGGTGCTTTTATCTGCTGGAGCATAAAAAAA